AATTCTGGGGGTTCTGCTCGGCCCACTCCATCACGTCATCCTCTATATCCTTCAGTCTTCTGTGTACCTCGATTGCAGCGCTCTTAATACACTGCGCGTCCTCTACGACGTTGTTTTCGATGCCCGGTGCGAAGTCCGCGTCAATTCTGAACCCCAGAGGACTGTTATCCTCCCGTGAAAATAGGCGGTAGATAGCGAGCTTGGTATATCGCGTCTGCCTAGCGTAAAGTCCGTCGAGTCTCTTCAACTGTTCTGCGTTACATATGTGTGTTAGCATTACCGTGCACTTGGGGCCAGAAGAGAGTCAGAATTGCATGTACCTTCGATGTCGTTTATGTCATTGAAAGTCAGCCCTGGTTCGTATCTGCCCGGCATGTCTTCGTCTTGTCCATCTCCGATCACTTGAGCTGTGATACGGACTGGTCTGGGCCCTTCACGACGTGGTCTTTCGACGGATTGTTCACCGTTTTGAGCATGGCTGGTACCGTTTGTGTGGGGCCTAGCACCGCTGTCGTTGTCGCCTGCGCCTCTGCTCATGGTTGGAGTAAGAGATTGTGAAAGTCTTGATATAGAAGTATGATCGAAGAGTGTACTAGTTTCGTATGAGGTTCGCGTGTTGAAAGAAGACTACACTGTCGCCGTAGCTCATCGACTCTTTATACAACGCTACAGTCATGATGCTGGGTAGTCGACTCACGTTTATGACTTTGCGATGTCTGTGAGTGACTTGGTGGTTATGAGTGGTATACAGTCATGTACGTTCGAGACTCATACTCCCCACTAAAGCACATAGTTTGAGCCAGACCCTTCTTCATAACCACACTCAAATCACTCTATCATTCAATCATCTCTACATACTGCGTGCTGGCCATGCAAGCATCTAGGGGCAGTGCAATATCTTGCAAGTCAAAGGAAGTTAGACTTTCTGACTCGAATCACATCCCAAACAGCTTGCAGTTGAACGAAATCGCCCACTTGAGACAGATTACAACACTGCACACTTAGAAAACGACACAATTTTCGGGGAACTAGAAAATGTGACAGGACGCTTCAAGCAAGATTCGATCTCACTTTAAGAGCGATCAGTCGAGTGAGAGAGAAAGATCAATGCGGCCTGAACCGTTTGTTCTGCTCAGCCAAAATCATCAAGGCAGCACTTCGCACACCTCTGGAGATCCTGAGAGCAGACATAACGTACTACAGCTAATTAGAGCGGGTCCGACAACGTGTACTGAAGTAGAAAATTGTATAGGGCTGTTTATTCATACAAAGCATTCCTTAGATGCACTTTCAAGGTTTCATTTACCATTAAGGTAATTCCATAGCTTTGCTTAACTAGTCTCCGAACCACCCTGACAGATCTAAAGCAAACTCATAGTGGCATATGCCTTGGTTGTACGATACAACTTTCTCGACTCGAAACATCGTGCTGACTCCCGCTTCCTTCCCCGTCACTTACGTTAGTTGTAGCTACAATGCCGCCTAGAAATCACGTACCATTCAACTCTCGATTCAGATTATCCCTTCGATATATTATGTTCTTCCCATGCTTTGCCTCCATCCACTTGCCCCAACAGGGTTTTGAAAGCCCTCACTAATTCCTGGGATTGGGCAACGTAACTTTTCGGGCTGTGGTCGAGAAACACTGTGTACAATGTGATTTTCCCGTCTTTCAGTGTGATGTCGATTGCCAAATCCAGATCTTCTATTGTCTTGTAGTGCTCCTCGGTTTTGTTGAAAATATCTACGTCGTCATCAACACATAGATAGTAATGGGGTAGATTTGCGTTGATACAAGCTGCATGTATTGACCTGTAAGGAGACATGTGCTTACCTTTGATCCTCTCGACTCTTTTCCTTTCTCCGTCCTTCAGGTGAAATACGCGCCCGGATTCATGTGCATAGATGTAAAACCTATACACCCCATCGGGAGGTCGTTCTGAGGGGGTAATGCTCCCTGTAGAGGGATTCGATCCCGCTCCCGACGCATCGCTTCCTGCACTCATACTTTCGAGCTGACGTTGTAGTCGTGAATGGAGTATATGTAATGGATATCTAGTAAGGGTATAATGCTGGCTACTTGCATTGAGTGGGTGGAACGTCGAGCTTTATATCTACAATGACTCGAAGAACAGTCATGGTCCGGAACATTCATGTCATATTTGCATGTGTCAAAATTGGTGACGCGAGGATGTGACTGTGAATTGGGGAATGTAAGTCATATACGCGTCGATACAAGAACAAAGCAAGCTCTTCACTTGGGTAACTCCGAACCTCAGGCGACCACTGCGAATATGACAGCCAGTCTCGCTATTCTTGTGTTGCATATTCCTTACCATCCAACACCACCCCATCTCTTACCCTAGCCGCGTTTCCTATCCCCCTCATACGGTATTCGGACCTCTAGTCTCCGATCACCAAAACAGCCAACTAACTCAAGAAGACCACCATAGCCTCACTCGATATCTATCAGCTCTTGGGATGGAAGCCGGTGACTAATAGGCTATGACTGAGTACCGCATTGTTCAGAGTGCTTCGGTACTCTTGCAAACTCAGCTCTATGGGTGACGAACTGTTTTGAGTCTTACATGAACTTATAGCACTGACTTTTATACACGGCCCTTGAAATTGGAAGACTCATACCTCATACAAAAGTCTACACTCGCTGTCAGCGTACATGTTAATGTCCACCGCACCATTTGTACTGTCGTTTCATATAAAAGCCAGCATCTAAACACGGCTTTCAACACCATCAGTTCGGCAAACGAGCAGACATAAACGCCGACGGAACAAGCAACACCATGAATTCGCCGGCGATATCACTCGGAGAACACGGCACGGGATCAGTTCCCGCCTTAGGAGTCGATGAGTCCAAGGCTGTCGAGGAGATAAAACGTTCGTGAATCAAAACGTCAGTTGGCGCTCTTTAGACTCACACGAGTACAGAACGAGTGCATCAACTTATACCCGAATACAGGGGCAATGATCTCAGCAAAGACATGTGGTTCAAGCAAGCCTCGAACAAGGATGGTAGTATCAAAGTATTTACGGTCTATCTCGGCATTAGTGAGAAGGAGGCAGTGCTTTGGGCGGAAGGAGATAGCACTTTGCTGGCCTTGACAGACATGTTGGGCGACCGGAAGCTGAATGCGACGAAGCAGCTGGAAGACAGTGTGGATTCTAAACTGGGTGTTTTGTCTAAACGCCATCGCCGAGGATAAACGAGACTTTAGGGATATTTTGCTGATGCGCTGCGCAAGTAACTCTTGTTCTGCTTTATATGTACAGAAGTCAGAGAAGCCATGAATGTATCCCGTTCTGTCACTGCTTGCGTCCTTTGAAACTACGCTCTACACGCTATACATAGTGTGATTCAGAATCTTGTTCCTGCGTTGAAGCGCATTCATATAAGTTTGATCTACCCGGTAAACATACACAAACAAGCCAAACCCCACCTCGACAAAAGGAACCGCTCCCGACGCTGCTGCCATACACTTGTGGTGGGCCAATTTCTACTATGCTGCATGTAGAGATCCAAAAGCATCTCTCTCGGCTTCACATTCCGATTACTCGTCGCTATGGTCTCAAAATCTTCGATTTTCTCGTCCCAGCTGTCCCATCTCTGGAGAGTTGCGGCAAGCACTCTTTGCCCGTCCTCGCGCAAAGTCTGCTTCCAGAGCACCCACGCGTCCTTGCGGTCATTCTTGTGGCCCTTCTTATGGACAGGAGGGTGGACCTTCTTCTCTCGCTCTATCCGGTGTTAGTCGATGTAATGTCTGCGAGCGTTAGATTCCAATTTGCTGACCTGTGATGAGGTATTCAAGCCTCTTGTCTCTCTTAGAACGCTTGATCTCGGGAAGCGTTTCTTCGCAGTATCCTGCCTGGGGCTTTGCAGTCTCATAGGTGCCGATACCATTTCGACTGCTCGATATGTCTGGCGGGTTTGGAGGATTCGACTCATGTCCTGACTTGACCTTTTCGAGAAGATCGCTGAGCGCCTCAAGTGGGTCCTCTTCCCAGTCACTCGTGTAGATTGAACCAGGAATAGTCGAGTTTCTTTTGAACCTAGCTCGGTATACCTTCCGAGGCTTTCTGTCGTCCTCTTCCCATTGGAAATACAGAATTCTGCATTCGACATCCTGATGGAGGCTTTTCGGGCAATCCGATTTCTCCCACTCTGATGTATCGCATTCAGCACTGTAGAATCGCTTTTGCGTAATACTGACCTATAATCTTTCTCTCAAGGTCCCGCGCAACATCCGTCTCCCACTCTTGCAGGTTCAAATCATCGAATTGAATCTCTCGGTCAGGCTTCGACTTGGGCTCCGGCTCCGGCTCTGGAAATAATTCCTTGAATCGACTTGGCCTTGGCTTTTTGTTTGTCTTCACCATCGTAGCTTGGGTTTATGGACGTGAAGGTAGGGAGTCGGTACGCGCTTTTATGCATCCTGTGACGCACAGTGAACACTGACTCCAAGGCCATGACACGAGGATGAGTTTGTACCGCAGTTTACTCACGATTTACTATGGCGAGGCTGTTGTATTGGAAAAGGGCTCCGAGTGTGGGTAAGTATAAAGACTCATGTGCAGTGATGGGTCACTACTTTCCGACGCCGAAGTAAACCCGCAGTGCTTCTTCTTACGTAGTCAAATCTTCTGCGAACTGTCTGATATGCATATGCAGCTTCCATAAAGCGTAAAAACCTGCGATAATACCTGACGATGTGCAGCCTTCCACATGCATCTGTCAAAGGACCTGAGAGAGGAAGCCGAAAGTGCACGAGGGCGCAGGAAGGTGGGGATGTGTTGGCAACAGCGGTACCATAATGTAGGTTATATTGATCGCGTTGATGACGTAGAGAAATGACTCCGAGCTAGGGTATCTGTACGCGAAACGCTCAAGGAGAACTATGCTAAACTGTGACTATCTCTTCTTCATGACCAATGTGGTCTACTGTGTTGACTGATGTATTCTCATTACATCGAGTTGACTAATGAGCCTACTCATACAAGCTTCGGTCGTTGGGATCGTTCTTCGGTGGAGGGGAAGCAGTAGCCGGTGCGGTGGGCTCCTGTTTTGCTGCATCGTCTGTAGTTATCGCATCGCTCACGTTCACAGGTGGAATCTGCGGCGCTGCCTCAGCCACAGGTCGAGGTGGAAGTGGAGGCGATGGTCCCTCGGGTGAGGGGCTTCGAGGCGGTGCTTGTGCTGGCATTGTACCCACATTCGGCGGGGCGCCATATGGCGTAGGAGTATGGGAGCCGTTCTGAGGAGCAGTATGCGCAGCCTGAGGGACCTGAGGTGCCATAGGAGAGACATTGCCCATTTGCTGCTGCGGTTGTGGGTAGCTTACTGCTGAAACGGGAGATTGAGAGACGACCGGTCCAGCTTTAGTCATATCGCCATAGTAGCCAGCTTGCTGATGAGGTGGGTATGTGTAACCTTGAGGTGGGACGAAACCTCCGTTCGGTGGCATAACCCAGCCGGGAGGCGGAGGGCCGTAGTAGTAAACTTGACCAGGAACCATAGGCTGGGAAGCACCGGGTGTTTGTGCCATGTTTGGGTACAGTGGCTGACCCGGCGGTACGAAGCCGACGGTAGTCTTGCTGAACTGACCCAATAACTCTTCGGGGTATCGATGACGGAATCCCCACTTCCACCAAGCCTTGAAAGCCGCTCCGCTACCCATGTTCTTCCACCTCTCAGCCAACATCTTCTGGTCTTCGTTGCTTCGGCGATCTTGCATGCGAGTAAAGCAGAGTACCCAGAGCGACATGAGAATCCAGCAGACCGTACCAAAACGCATGGCACTCTTACCAAGCATGAGGCGACGGAACCAGAACCAAGACTCGAGGAATCCAAGTAGGAAGAGCCCGGGGATTATGCATGCAATGATGATGATCCATGTAATCACACGAGATCTACAGTAATAGTAGTAGCAACTGTCGTATGAGCTGTCGCTGTCACTGTCGTCGTTGTCTGAGCTGCCGCGATTTGAGCCGCCAGACGACGAGGTGTGAGTGTTGTACGATCCCGGAGGTGTACTACAATCCGCCATATAGACAGAGTAGTAGTAGTCCGACGTTGACGTGAAAGGCGCCGCGCTCTCGGAAAGGTACCATGTCTCCCAAAGGTAAAGGGTGCCGGAGTAGGCAGTGGCAGAGGATGTTTCAATCGAAGCTGGCGAAAGTTGCGCAGTGACCTGAGTTGGGACGTATACAGAGGCGGATGTTGTTATGGTAACTACAGGCAGTCAAAGTCAGTGTCGAAGAGATTCGAAGAGAGAACGTAGTACTTACATGGTGTGGGGCATGAGGCAGGTGCCGTCATCGTTACTGGCATGCTGAATTCGATATCCCTGACTGTCTCGGTGGTCGTCGCCGTCGCCGAAGGGGAAGTCGCGTAGTAATCATACTCAGGCACAAGATCAGATTCGGCCACCGCACTAGTTGTGTAATACGCGTATACGACCTCAAGATCGTCGTAGTAGCCGAGGGCTGTGGACGTCGAGTACGGGGCGATCGTAGGAGTGACTCCATCCTTGATAGTGCGGTACTCAGTGTAAGTCTCGGTAGCGACGGTGTCGTCATAATATGTGTACAGGCTTTGTGTCGCAACCTCCGCTTGAGCGTAGGTGTAGGTCCAGTATGCTGAAGTATAACGAGTGGTAGTGTAGTCATCATCCAAGAACTGCGCGCTGGCAATGGCGGCATTAGCGATCGCTACGAGGGCGAATCGGGCAGCCATATCGCTATCCGCTGAGAAAGTAACGATCGTGGGTCGCGAAACGCGAAAATTAGATATTAGTAAAGTTGTAGGGTTGTCTCCAGCCGTCAGGGCCACACCCTCATCTTAAGCACCATCAAGCACCGCGCCGCCGACCCAGACAACTACATGGCTAGCTCACCGGTCGTGCAAAGCATGCAGGCACATCTCGTTTCCCCTTAAGCGATTGATGCAGCCTTGCGCCTCTTCCAAGCTCCGTCTCTTTCAACCAATCATGCTGTTCTTGCCAAGCGAGTCAGCCAATCCCGCGGAAGATCTAGACGTTTAGCGACATTGAGCCGTCTATCTTTGGGTCCATGCGGCTCGTTGCAGACTCATTTTCTGCAGGGGTTAACAGGGCGCCTGAAGGATTAAAGACCTTGCACTGCCCTTGCCTTTATTGAAAAGGTGACTCCGACTCTTACTGAGCATGATGAAGCGCCAAACACGAACGATTTTGCTGTATTAACGCTGCAGCGGTTCTGAACGGGAACCAGGTCGAGAAAGCCAGCAATACGGCTCGTTGGTGATGGCTGCGCGATGCAGAGGGGTGGTTGCACAAGTCAGAATTCGTTTTGGTGGCGTTCTCGTACGACAAGTGCGACGTCTTGGCGACACCTGAACAGTCATCCTCGGCAATTTCTCGTTGGGAGTCCGTTCCTCTCACGTTCTTCTCAAAACCAGACGTCTTGAAAGTATACGCTGCTTACGGTATCAACATTGAATAAAACTGCCGCGACAGCCTCCAGGAGTATGAACGATGTCACCTTTATGCTCACAGATCTTCATGCCTCGATGCCCAGTCTCTCTTATTGCCATCTCGAAAGCAACTCTGCTTTCACTAACGAGTTGTCCAAGTTATAACGCATATCTAGTGTGTTTCCGCCTTCTACAGCTACTCTGCCGCTGTAAGTCTCGCAACATCCATTCCCCAGAGTACACCTTCGGTGCTGGGCCGTGTTTGCATGCACGGCGCAACTTCCGCTTCGTCGAGGTGCACGTAACGATCGTTCCCCAGACTTTGGCCATGCCCGTTGGTGTAACAAGTGCCATAGCTGTGTGAGGTCGCCGGGGATGTAGAGACCACCTAATCACTAGTAACTCCGTGACCAGTTTCTTGACTGTGCTTTTGCGACTGTTCATGAAAGCATCGGAATGACCCTGGTGATGACATACTTCGTCTTCGACTGTGACTCACACTGGGTATAAAGTGTATGGCTGCGAATATACCTATCTCCGCTCGTTCTTTAGAAGGCCTTGCTGGGAATTTGCATCTCTTACCACTTACACCAACTCGTACTCATTTCCAATGTGGCAGTGCATCTGCACTATCTTTGCTGGGAGTGGAAGAACCGAGACAAGTTTCCACAAATGGAAATCCATCGATGCTTTGGGTCCTGAGCATGAGCGCACGAAGCAAGACATCATCGGTAATTACGCCCGTTACTGCCGTTACCTGAACTCTACCGACTAAAGCCTGTATCGCAACGTAGATGCCTGGGACCAAAATTCGCCGAGGAACTCCCTCAATGCCTTCAAGGTGCTCGTCGAACGGGAATACGTGCACCGCTTTAGGGGAACCCAGAGATATCAAGCGCGTGTTGTATCTTCAGCTGGTGGGCAGCCACTTAGTGAAGCAGCAGTAGGCGATACAATTCCCGAAGCATTGAACAAGCTGTTGTTGGGGGTTCGACAACTTCGAGGTCCACCACCGGGGTATCATTGCCCAGGTGATCTTCAAGTAGGATCGGGTATTCAGTCTTGAAAGTCTGTGCCATCAGAAGGGATGATCGAATGGGGCTATTGCGCATCTACCAAGGGTTAAAAACAGCCTGAGATGGCACTGCAGTGCCAGTTGGTATTCTCAAGGTCACATAGGACGCGCGGGTGGTCTCCATCCGCTCATCGCGTTTGCGAAGCATTTGACATGTCTATGTCAAAAATGACAACGGCAACCGCCCCATACTCTTGCGTGAATGTGTGCTTGTTACGGAACTCATACCCTGCTGGGGTGCAAAGTACCACTTTACAATGACAGGGGCTCGTCCGGGCTCGATGCGCCTCTTACAGTGTCAAAGTCTGGAATTCACAATTTCGGCAGTCCGAGGCTGAGTTCCGGTCTCGTTCGTGGTTTTGACTGAGGCGAGGAATTGATGTTGATCTTGTGCGACGTCGTGTTGGTGGCAGGACGGGGTACCTAGGTAGTGGACAAGGCACACCGTCGTTGCGCGCCCCGCCGCCCAGGCCCCGCCGTGTCACCTAGGTAGCTCCGCGCCGCTTCATTGACCACCAACTCCAACACCAACTCCAACACCAACTCCAACAGTAGCCCAGAAGCTTGATGACAATTGTTTCGAAGCAGTCATGGGGTCAAAGTCTCCAGAAGATCATCGCCAAGGCCCAGACGGTGAGCGCGATCGAAGCGATTCTGAGAAGACATATGCTGACAGCTGACAGGGTCGTCGGCGGACGCTGCAATCGCTATCATCAACCCTCCCAGGCCAGCAGCCGCTAGCGGACTGCTTCCAGGCGTACTCGAAGGGCAGGATGAAGAAGGAGACGACGACGATGATATCGCGAAGCTTGGAGCTGACGTGAAGAACAACGATGGTGAGCTGAGATCACGTGACTTCGATCTGGAGCTGACAATGGGAAGGCGCGAAGAAGAAAAGAAAGCGCAACAAGAAGAAGAGCAAGAAAGTCTCACCAACACAGCAGACAGCGCCTCCAAGGGTGCCGCTAGCCGATATGTACGAGAGCCGAAAATACCCGCAAGGTCAGACTGTCGATTATGCCATCAAGGATGAGAACCTTCAGCGTACCACGGCTGGAGAGCTTCGTCATCTGGCCGCTGTGGATAACATGGATGAAGACTTCTTGGAGGACTATCGCAAGGCTGCTGAAGTCCACCGTCAAGTGCGCCAGTACATCCAGACTATCGCGAAGCCCGGCGCGTCTCTCACCCACATCGCCGAAGAAATTGACGACAGTGTTCGTACGCTTGTTGGCCACCAGGGTCTTGAGACCGGGGATGGTCTCAAGGCTGGCCTCGCCTTTCCAACGGGCTTGTGCTTGAACAACATCGGCGCACATTGGACTCCGAATGCCGGTGCGAAGGAAGTCTTCCTTCAACAAGATGATGTTCTCAAGATCGATTTTGGCGTGCATGTCAACGGCAGGATCGTGGATAGCGCTTTCACTGTGGCTGCCAATCCGATCTATGACAACCTACTGGCTTCTGTCAAGGCGGCTACCAATACAGGCTTGAAAGAAGCAGGTATTGACGCAAGGATTGATCACATCTGCGAGATGATCCAAGAGGTGATGGAAAGTTACGAAGTGGAACTCAAAGGGAAGACTATACCCGTGAAGGCGGTGCGCAATATCACCGGCCATAACATTCTACGTTACCGCATCCATGGCGACAAACAAGTTCCTTTCGTCAAGACGAAGACTTCCCAGCGTATGGAAGAAGGCGACATCTTCGCTATCGAGACGTTTGGTAGCACCGGCAAAGCATATCTTCATGACGATGTTGGTGTCTACGGCTACGGACGCAATGAACACGTCAGCGCTGCCGGCCTCCATCATTCATCTGCGAGATCGCTGTTGAAGACCATCGATGAAAACTTCGGGACTCTAGTCTTTGCTCGCCGTCAGCTTGAACGTTTGCCGGGTGTGGAGAAATATCACCTCGGTATGCGAACGCTGGTGAACAGTGGTATTGTTCAAGCATATGCGCCGCTGGTGGATGTTCCCGGTTCATTCATCGCGCAGTTTGAGCATGTGAGTACAACATCGAAGAAGCTTTTTGGGTCATGACTGACTCTATACTTTACAGACAGTATTGCTGAGGCCCAACTGCAAGGAGATCGTCTCTCGAGGTGACGACTACTGAAGGGCGACGCTTCAATAGATTATGCATGACTTCAACAGTCGGTATCGGATCATCTAGCCGGAACGTTTCAACACATCCTGGGATTGACTTTCCTTGTCCAGCTGCTGCTGCACCGCGGTCTTTATAACTACTTATCATATGCCATTCTCATTGCGTACATAATCTTTCCTCCGGTAGATTGTGATCGGCATAGTCTTACGCTGGTTCGTCTGGAAGAGAGCTACACAGTTGACTGAGTAGAGGCGATCGCGCATAGGGCAGGAGTGATGACCTCTGGAGCTGTACTCTGGTGGAACACCAACGTCGACAATGCGGCACGTGTCTAGCTTCGAAGACCAGTCACTATTATATGACTGGAAGCGGGAGTGCGAGTGACTTCAGAACACCTTACCCGTTGGTCTGTGTGTATTCGAACTGAAGCAATGACTTCAGTCGGAGTCACTGCTAATACAAATTGACATAGTTGGACAGATGCATACACCAGACACCTTTCACTACCTTCATACCTACCTATAGCATACACTGAAAGATGCTCTTCAAAGATCACTTGTCTTTTCGATCGAAGGGGAAGTCTGAGGAGCCAGCAACTCCAGCCTCCACAGCCTCTCACAATGAGAAAGAACAATCTGCTCTGGCGGACCTCTCTCAACAGCCTGCGGGCACGCCGCTTCTCGAACATCAAAGTACATCTGGAATCTGTTCACAAACCCACGCTGTGGGAATGAACGACGGTCTCGCCTCAAACGATGAAGCCCTAAGCTTGAGCATTGCATACACGCATTTGGAAACTCTCGAAAAGATCGGGGGGTTGCGATACCCGTTGAGTACGACGATTTCCCGGCGTTTGAGTGATGGATTGTTTGACTAATGTACACGTTAGGTTCCACTATCAAATTTGAGAATATCGACGTAGCAACGATATTCGTTAAAATCAAACCGGAGCTGCACATGGGCGAAAGCAAATCGATATGTGTCCTCGGCTATCGAAATATCGAAGGGAAGGAAACTGAGTTGGAGGGTCACCCTTGTTCAAAGCCATCGAGAGCGGTCGGGAGCCTCAAGGAAAGGTTGGACGATGGGAACTTCATCCACCGCCGCAGACTAGAAGAGGAGGAAAGAATTGCGAAAGAAGATAGAAAGGCAATGAAGAAGGAAAGGAAAGCCAAGCGATTGAATGATACTGGCGATGAGTTACACTGGTCCGATGCCGATTATTCGACGGACCTGTCAGACGTATAGAAGTCAGGAAGGTTTAGATCATGTCTTTCAATATCTTGTACCACTGAATGAGAAATGGAATCAATGACGGATTATATAATGTCTGCTGAACAGACACCAATATATGGTTAGGGAACCCCTGCAACTTGTACGAACAGATATGTCTACGCTCGATGTCATTGCTCGGTACTTACGGCGGTGGCCATTATCGGTGTAAGGGTCATGAACTTGCGGAAGATCTCGCCGAAGATGGTATACAATAGTCGCGGTAACACAGGTACCACATTTGTGATTGATGGGTCTCGGAGCTGTTCGTGCAATAACGGCGTCACTATGTTTAAGCTTGATGCGCATGGGATTAGACCTGTTGGAAGAGACATGAGGAGCGCGGTGCGATGTCGTGCACATCCGTGATGCTCAGAATCCGAGCGAACTTGTCACATGTCGACGCCTTCAACACTATGAGTCGTGTGAATGTCCTGAAGGAGTCAAATTGTGACCTGATCATTGTGTTTTGATCGTTGGGGTGCTCGTCACTATGCTATGAGTCCGCAGCTGAACGACAACAACAGTCAATGCGCAGTACCACGCAATAACGTAGAGTCAAGATAACAGAAAGGACTCATAATTGGAGAGTATAAAGAGCCAGACAATAGCATTGTCTACGGTACCATACAATCATCGTAATCACAATCCACATTCTACTTGCACGCGCTCGCACACATACCCATCCAACGAAAGCGATTCCAAATTCGAACCAGACCACTCGAAATGGCTGGCATACGTGAAGACGGAGAGCTTCTCTACAAAAGGCAACACTGGTCCACAGAAACTCTGAGCAAGGCTGATTCACTCCAAAGTAAGCCCAAAAATGATGGTCAAATTGACCTCGGGATGAAGCTAACTAGGTATTTACTTACAGGAATCTGGGACAGTAAGAAAGGCGAACTGAAACATAAAATCGAGGGAGAGATCAGGATGATGAGGTTCAAGAACCCTGTCACTGGCGCTGTCCAATATCGCGCGCAGTTGCATACGCCGAACCTTACGATTGATGGAGGACCTAGAGGGCCTTGGAAAGCCACACCGGAAGAAGCGGTGCCAGCACTGAAAGACACTATGGATCAGGTCATAATCAAGCTCGCTGAAATACAGGGGGACATTGATGTTGAGAACGCCAGTCATGTCATGGCCTTATAAGTCAGCATCGACATTATGAATTGGGCTTCGGGCTTCTTGAGAGTGCGGTTATGTTCATAGAATTATGGAGGAAATAATGGACGGGACAGACGCTGGGGCGTGGCTGGTCACGCTCGCAGTTTGTATAAATACTACACTCGTTTACCATGAACATTCTCTCCCAATTTATTATGGCGCTACATCTCATCCCCAGAATTTACGCCACTGTTGTACTGAGATGTCATAATAAGATGAGTGACAGCCCCGATTGTCAAAAACAATACAATACGATTACACATTACAGAAGCTACTATCTTCTGGGACAGTACTGTGCCAACTTTACATAATCGGGGCATAAGAACTCTAGAATGATGCTCACCTTAGGCCAGATTCTTGACGCCTAGCGAGAATAAGGTGCTGTAAGCATAAAATTATTTTTCTTGCGTGTTGGAAGGAGTGTCAAAATCAAAGTGGGAGTACACAGGGTGACATGTGAAGAATGCCAATACCTCAAGGAGCTAGCCGCGCTCTCCAAATGCGTCACGGATCGTACCAGATGATCAATCATCTTTGGAGCTGACAACGGTGCACAATGCACAACTGCAATGATCTCTCGGCCAATCGCACTTCTCTACTCGAAATGCTTGGTGAATTATTAGATGGGTCATGAGTTAGTTCGCGCATGACTTTACCGCCAAGACGGTGACTGGCTTTCAAGGCTCATAGCTGGCGAGTAGTTGCGATGCTTCTTTCGAGAGATGCAAACTGATAACAGTTTTTTACACGGCCGAAAACCCCAATTAGTCTGCGCATTCATTCCATTGATGATGACGGAGGCCCGCTGACAATCGCATATGAACTTGAGCCATAAGAGACGAACGTAAAGACCGAACCCAGCAACGAGCGTCATGTATGAGTCCGACCGTAGGTCCAGATGACTCCGATCAGACTCACTGCTCACGTAGAAAGCCTTTTGCTTTGGAGAACGATGTACTCTAACGCTGCACTACACCAAGTATACTCCGCAAACTACGTTCGAACGAAGCACCAAAACGATGAAATACTTTTCCGACATCCTGGGCTTCTCACAGGAAAAAGACTCGCCCTACGAAACAGAGGATTGTATTCGTTATGAGTTCAAGCTCCTAGATCTTCACCATTTTGCAAATCCAGACACTCCCGAAGCCCACGAGTCTCTTCTGAAATCATGGTTTTATTACATGCAACGGTATATACTATGTACCAAAGCCCACGACCCGGTGGATCTTCACCCTGTCGCAAAACCAGAGACCCCCAAAGCCAACCACTTGGCGGGTATCACCAAGGAAGATATGAAGGAGCTTCAAGACAGCGTAAAAGCCATCAGTAAGCTGCCACTCGATACCCGAAACATGGGGTTCGGAACCACGACCACTGATATTGCACTGATATTGACATTGCTAGTGGAGAAGTGCTCCCGAAGAGAGCGCAACGGCAAGAAAAATGTCCACCTGCGATTCGAAACGACCGAGGGTGACGAAGTGTCCACAGTTGGCATCCTGAAGCCGACACTTCGATCGAAAGAAAAGATGCGCCTGACCGAAAGAGCCTTTGACTGCAAGTTTGGCAAGGAGGTGTTGGATAAGATTTCGGAGAGATTGGAAGTGAGAAAGTATGAGGCTAGACGCCGTAAGCAAGTACGTGTTAAAGTGGCTAGTGATACAGTCTGAAAGCAAGGCGATGTGCAGTATCTTCTTTGGACGGATGAAAGGGGGCTGCGATGTTTTCAAAGTGTACGAATATTAATTATCGACTAGAGGTAATTAGCCACCTATGGAATGTACCTAGAAGTGATAGCGATATTGGAGACCGATAGCATGTGATCGCTTCAACCAAAGACCAACGCCCTAACCTCGATACTTTCCCTGCCAACCGCGCCCTCCGGTGTCCTTGGATCCACAAAAGCCGTATGCGGTACACGCCCCCACTGGCCTACATTCTCATCGCTGTCAAAGCACTTGAGCAACAGGCGATCCTCATTCGTCATGCCAGACCAATAGTACCACTTCTGCCCCGGGTTGTACGCCACAGCCGCAGTTTGTCCGTTGCGATCGGGGTAGCGATGCTCGATAGGTATCAAATCACCGTCGCGCACAGTCTGGCTGTCGGCGACCGCAAGCGGACTGCCCATAACAGGCCCATTGAGCGGACGCCATACGTTTATAATGCGGTATCGTCCTTGCAGCAGTTGTTCGGCTTCGTCGGGGAGGTGGAACTTGACTCGTTCGGCGGCGGAGAAAGGCGTTTGATCGATGTGTACGCGTTGAACGGGGTTGCGGTTACCAGTCGGTCGGCGAATCGTGTGGTCGAAGAGGAGAACTCGTTGCGCGCCTTGTACGTTCTTCATGAGCAGTTGCTCGACTTCTGGGTAGTATACGCGTTTTACCGCGTCGTCGTCTGCGAAACCATCTCTGTCCAGCCCGCTCTTGATGTTTTGGTATGTATCGAAGGCGTTGTTGTCTAGTGTGAAGTTCTGCTCCTGTCCTCGTAGATCGTTGAGTTGGACTTTGGTCCAGTCGTCGCCCCAATTCCGTTGTGGTACGCCTGGGAGTGGCTCGACGTAGTTGTGTGGTGGTGAGCCATCTTCAGGGGCTTTATAGAAGGATAGCGATGCTGTCACGGGGCCGCGAGGGATGGGTAGGCCTTGGTAGTTGACGTCGGCAGATGTTGTGTCGTTGGAGGTAGGCGTAGGGTTGGAGAGTTGGTGTGCGGGTGTAGGAAAAGAGGCGGCGGTCGTCATCTTGGTGACTGGTATGCTAGATTTGTTCGCAGTCGTAATGGGTATTGTATGATCGAAGGTTTGCGAAGACTAGATCGAGGGTGGTGGTGGTGGTAGTTGCTGGATCAGTGGCTGTGTGGTAAGTTGTTTGGATATGGGATGTGATCAAGGACAGCTTCGATGCTATTATATACGTCTATGCGATTAGAAATGCTTCCTACCATTGCGACGTCAAGTCGCCCTTCATCCGCCGGGGCTTCCCCTCATTCGGCATCTCTGTGGCGATGATGCCATAGCTCTATTCCCGAGGCCAAGCCTGCGTTACTAATGCCCATCGTCCAATGACTGTGTTCGTGCTGACAAAGTACGCGAATTGCGTGCTAGAGGTAGTTATTTGACAGTGCGCGTATGCTGTGTCAGTCGTTGGTGTGGTGGTTTGTAACGATTGCGTGGTTTCTAAGCCAGCGTCCGTTAAGGGATGGGCAACTGCCCGGAGATGCTGCGGAGATGATCCGGAGGTACGATTGCGTCATATCTCGTGCACACCTGTAGCGGAACGCAGCTCAACACCATCACCTTCCGCGACTTCAGTTCTTCAAAGTACCTAGGTACTCACCATACCAGTATCGCCTTGGCATATGCTCGTTGTTAGCTGCTCAAACATGGCCATACGCCAAAGAACTCGCATGACTGCGTCCGCGGACCCATCCCAAGCGACGAACCGAAGCGTTCGTGATCACTGGCGATGCGACTGAGACAGCGCTGTAGCACTATGCTTATGTAGACAGGACGACACTACAATAAAGGCATATACGATACATCTTTGCGCATCTAGGCCAGTGTCTAACTGTTGCATGTCTAGCGGCATCGGTCTTCAACTCGCTTCTAGCCGTGATTGCCGTCTTCACCAGCATCAATCGATGCTAAGGCATGCTACTTGTTGGTGGCGCGCGCGTCTACTATGGGGAAAGCAGAATTCGATGAATGCAAGCGCTCATAGCATGCATCGACGCGTCGCGCCAGTGCCTAATGCATTGGACCCCCTCTACAAGTCCTCATGCGTCGTCTCAACGTCATCATGTTCGCATTCAACTGTGACATCGTTCCTCCACCTTTAAACCACATAAAGGTCGCAACCACTATAAACATATCTCAACATGCTTCGACTCTTCTCAAGAAACCTTCCCACAGCTACCAAATCTATCACATCAACAGTACGAACAAATCAATTTCTCCCAAGAACTACATACCAAATCGTCAGAAATATGAGTGACGGCAAGGCAAACACCGATGAGCTCAAGGGCTCTAAGCTCTTTGATGTCTCTCATGTCACCGCTCTTGTTACTGGTGGAGGAACTGGTATCGGTTTGATGATCACACAAGCGCTAGTCGCAAACGGCGCGAAAGTATACATCACATCAAGACGTGACGAGGTATTGAAGAAGACGGAGGAGCTGTACAGCGGCGGTGGTCCAGGCAAGATCATTCCCATCCAGGCAGATGTCAGGTAAGCAAACTCTTCTTTGATACCATCATGAGTATCAACACTAACACTGCCCAGCGAGAAGGACGACGTAAAGCGTCTCTACGAAGAGATGTGCCAAAAAGAGCCCAAGGGCATCCAAATTCTCGTCAACAACGCCGGCATCGCCCGCGACGACAACACCAAGTTCTCCGCAAACGGCCAGCCAAACATGGAAGACGCACAAGCCATCTCCGACCACTTCCTCAAGTCGCAGCCCGAGAACTGGGCGGACACCATGAAGACCAACGTCGGAAGCATCTTCTGGATGTCAATGTACTTCCTGCCTCTATTGGCTAAGGGCGGCAAGGTCACTCCCGGATACAGCTCGCAAGTCATCAACGTCAGCAGTATCTCAGGATACATGAAGGGAAGCAGCAGCGGCCAGTTCTCTTACGCGTCAAGCAAGGCGGCTGCTACACATCTGAGCCGCATGTTGGCTACGACGTTTGCGGGCACCAAGGTCCGCGTCAACACCATCGCGCCTGGAGTATTCCCAAGTGAGGTATGTAATTCCCAATTTCGAAATGTTTTGTCGGTGAAGGTCGAGCTAACACGATGTAGATGACCACTGGCACTTCCGACGAGGACAACAAAAGCCGCATCGAGTCAGGAATGAGCAACCCTGCTGGTCGTCCTGGCGCCGACACTGATATGGCTGCGACTGTACTCCTGCTGGCTGGTCCAGGTGGCGTCTTCTTCAACGAGCAGGTCTTGTATCCTGACGGTGGAAGCACCCTCACACAGCCCGCAGCGAGGGCTTAGTCGTGCATCCGTGAGCAGCCTCATGGGTAAAAAGCGATAGACTAGATGCGATATATCGAATGTAAATACAACGATCATGCATATGTTTGTTCTGTGTCGCGTCACCTTCGTGTTCCCTTCAAACGCGTCTTTTCGCAGGTTTGCCGTGCCCCACCCGCCGAAGCCTTCCGAAACCCCACCACAAGCGCAAACTCTTTCACGCTACACTGCGACCACCCACCCCAGCAAGCAGACAATTATCGCAAATATTGACCGACAGCAGCGGTGTTTACCACCAAGTACTAGTATTATGCTTGTTCTCACACCCCCATCAATCAGTACAACTGGCCTAATGGCCCAATGGCAAGGCGCTTGACTACGATTCAGTTCGATATCAAGAGATTCCAGGTTGTAAGTATTCACTCCACACGACTCACAAGAGTCACACGTTCGAAATAGCACCGCTGACGCCTAAAAAAGCGACCCCTGGTTAGGTCACAACACTTCTTTTTTGCTGTTTTCTTGGTCGTTGTCAAGGTAGAAATTGAGGTTTGAGGATTTGGGGAATTTTCAGATTTTTTGCTTTTCGATTTTGCTACCAAGCAACTTGGCTTTGCGATAGGTAGTAAGAGACGCTGAATCAGATGAAGGGTGGGTGAAGTAGGGTATACTTGTGGAATTGGACTGATCACTTCCCTTTGGTGAAGTAGCTAATGTTGCGCAAACCACCCGTTCTACTCATCACAATAACAGACATAACATACGAACCACCTTTACGTCTATGTTCCGACACGAGAGTCCGATCGGTATTCTCATCTACTGCAGCATCACTTAAAGTCATATTCTTTTGGCGGGGATCTAACCTATGGCATCACGGCAGGCAAAATGACGCAGTGGGATGGTTATATTAGTAGCGGTTGGCTCAGCTTTTAAAATCGTTGATATCCGGCGACACTGGAGTTGCGAAACGGTATGCAAGAAGTCTGGTAGTGTGATTCAGAGTAACAAGATGGATTCATCATTACTTGGTAACGGTTGCAACCTCATGAGTGTATCTTGCCGATTCATTACCAGCGACAGGTGCACTCATGAAAGCCCTGAAAACTGTGAAATCACTGTCTGCTCACTGTATAACCATCAAAATTCACCTCATACTTCACACAATGCTCTTGCTTAATTGTACCACTACATCCCATTTCTCCCAAAGGCCTTGGTACTAAACTCACACCTACCACGCAGTCTACCTAAACTCCACCCAGCCACCACTCGACGCTGACACGATCGATAATGACGACGCCTACCCCAACCCCGATCACACGCGGCGGCATGCAGCCCGTCCCTTTGCCATGGCTAACAGCCCTGCTCAAACCGCATGTCAAAGACTTCATAGGCGTTCACACGCATATCCTGCGACCTATAGCTATGGTCGCACAGGACGCTTCGCATATTCATCTCACCGACACCGGGGAGATTCACCCTCAAGCCCACACCGACCTAAAAGATTTTTTTTTCAATGATGTACACTTCGGCACTGCTCCTAGCGGAATAAGACGCCAACTACTTCAAGTTCCGATTGAAGACTTCTTCGATTTGTGCGTGCGCGAATTGGTCAATGCGGAAGATGGTCATGAGGATAAGAAGAAGGACCGGAACGACCGCCTCTGGTTTATTATAAGCTGTGCGACGCATCCCGAGGCGGACGTCGACGGGACGTTGGGGCCTGAGCTGTGGAAGTACTACGAGTGGACGACTTGGTGGCCCAAAGACGAGCTATCACCAGTCCATCGTAGCTCCACGTTTGAATTGCAGAAGGAGGCAGTGGAAGAAGAAGACACCGTTATGTGGCCCGGTCTGACATGGTTTCTCGAGGACGAGATACGCATCCAAGATGGGTACGCCGCGGAAAACATCGAGCATGTCATCAAGCACTTTCTCTGGCTCTTACTGAACACCATCGACGTTCACCTCGTCGATCATCGACTGGGTCTTAGTGATCGATATCCCGACGAAGAGACCGCGAGCGTGCTGCAAGAAGGTTATGACGTGCTAAATCGGTCTTCGAAGTTAGTGCTGCGGAATCCCTTTTCAGACATCCCCAAGCCTGTGCGTGAGGCCTTGGCGACACTCAATACCAGGGGTAACATCGAGTACGTCGGAATGTGCCCTCTACATGCCCTCTACCATGCTGTTCCACCGGAGCTCTTGCATGCATCCGCGTACATTTACTTCCTCCATTGGGCCTTGGCCGAGGTCGATCATTTGAAAGCAGATCCAGACGGCACCATACGTGCAAATCTGCTGAAGCTGCACATGGTAGGTGCGCCAGAGGGGACTAGAAGCGATTGTAGACATTCCTGGACACGCCCTGCAGGTATGGGCGACGTGGTTACCGAACAGCTCGAAGCCCACGTGAATCGCTATCTCGACGATGGCCCTGGTGCGGACGTTCCATTAGAGCCGACCGGACCGCGCATTGATCCCGACGGGCTGTGTGATGTGGTGAGCACGCCAGAAGCAACCGACCGCTGCCCAATATGCCTTGAAGATTACGCGGACGTTGACAACGTGTGCGTGCAACTAAAGGCTTGTGCGCATCTACTACATCGTGGATGCTTGGATGAATTGGTGAACGGGGTGTATCCCGGAGTTCCTGAGATCAGATGTCCGGCATGTCGGAGAGGTATATGTAAGGCCCGCGACTATACCGCAGTGCTGGACAACGAGGTTCGAGATGAAGCTTCATAGCTGACAGAGGGTGGAGATTGTGAAACCGCTTGAGTAGGACGTTAGATGTAGACGCTGGTGTTGACAAGTATTTTGTGCATCATACGCTATCACAAGCTAGAGTATCAATGTGTTCAGTAATAAAAGTGATGATGCGACTTCGTCAAGTGAAGGCCCATGCAGGCGAAGTGTTGAGTAAACGGATGGCACGGCGGGGTCGGCTTGGCGTCATGTGACTGAGTGCTATTGTAATTTTGCGGGTTAGCGCAATGACACGGCAGCAAGGGCATGATCGCCGCAGGGCAGCAACGCCGAAATCTGGAGCGACGTGAACTGATAGTAACACGACCGTCAAACTCTCGGCGAGCACACACCCAACGAGTGCTCAAGATGAAGAAGCTCGTCAACAACTCTAAATCACAATGACGCCATGTTGAAGATCTCGGCGAGGGCGTGCAGCCGCCAGCTAGCGGACCGAGACGCTTCAGTCATCATACCTAGGTAGCTAGAGACGCAGCGGCCAGACCAATAGCTGCACTAGCTCACCAGATAGCAACGGAAGGCAAAAGTAATCCTCTTTTGCGCAAAGCACTGCTCCAGCGTCTGTTCAATGCGGCGGTCGTGTGTTTTGTCGACTTCCGCTACTCGTCTTTGCGCCGGATGAAATGGCCTCGAACGGGCAACTACTCGCGCATCGCAACTACTACGGGACGACCGGCTATGGCTCACCACCGCCATTCGATACATCACGGCCCAAGCTGAAGCCAGCAGAGCGAGAGCTGGCAGACTTCACGCTTCTCGAAGCCCTCGACCGCGACGACCGCCCTACCTTCGCCGTCGAAACACGCTCGTCCCTAGGCCACGATGAAGCCCACACCATAGAACTCGTGTATGCGAACACGGCGCTTCACACCGTTGGCGGGCTTATGACCAAGATCACAGGCGACGAGTCGACTAGCTTGTTCGCGCAGAGCTCGGGACCACAACTTGCCTTCCGGAATTGGATTCGTGGGCAAGGCATTGAGGAGGACCTGCAACAACACGGCAATGCGTACACGTTCGAAGGGCACGTATGGAATGCGACAAGTGTGGGGCGCTACAAGATTGTCAGCGGAGTGCCAACGCGACTGCTGTGGGTCGACGCCGCCCCAGGAGGAAAGAGCCACCGCACCCTCCGACGCGAGCGGAAAACGCCTTGGCCTGGGAGCAAGCATCGCGCGGATGCACTACCCATCAAGCCCCAGCTGTCGCTTGCTCAGATACCACAAAACCCTGAGCCCGGCACCAGCTCTTCTGCAGACGGAAGCGCAGTACCACACACGTCCTTCGACTGTACTTCCGATGTACTCACCTCAACCAGCCCGCACATCGAGTACTTCCGCAGTGTAGATTGGGCAAATACACCCCTGGGTCCAATGACTTCATGGCCTAGTGACCTGCGTTGCGTAGCGAACACAGTACTCAGTAACAACGTGCCAGCCGTCATGTTCTGGGGCGACGATGTCATCATGTTGTACAACGAGCCCTATGTCCAACTCCTTGGCAGCCTCCATCCTTGCATGGGCGAAAGTGTCCGCGTCAAGGCGCCTGATCACTGGGTCTCGTTTCAACCTCTGGTAGACTACATCAAATCAACAGGGGAATCGATAGCCGAACCTGACATGCTCCTCTTCATTGAGAGAGACAAGATCCTTGAAGAGACACACTGGTCTTTCCAATTCGTCCCGATACTGAACACCGACGGCCAAGTGGCAGCCTACTACCAGTCCTTCTACGAAGTTTCCAACCACCGCATCCTCGAGCGCCGCGTCTCTAGTCTGGTCGCAATGGGAACCCAGAGTGCGAATGCCAGAGATTTTCCGTCATTTTGGGAGACTACATTGCGCTCACTGAGCTTGAACGATAAAGATGTGCCATTTGCTTTGTTATATGCTGCCGAGCGGCATGTTAGCGCTCAAATACCTTCAGTGTCATCACCCGGTAGCATTCCTCCGTTGGAAGGCTGCGTTCTCAAGGGTACCATTGGCGTTTCCACTGACCATTCCATCGCCCCCGCGACCATTAATATCAACGAAGACTCTTACATCCTCCAGCCGTTCCTAAGTCGTGCCGCCAAGTCCGGGAAAGCGACCGTGGTTCACGTCGAGGACCTTCCCGATCCAACAAGGGCCTTGCAAGGCATCGACTGGAAAGGCTATGGTGACCCTTGTCGCACCCTAGTCATCTGTCCAATAATACCCACCACTGGAAACCAGGTAGAAGGTTTTCTCATAATCGGCATAAATCCGCGCCGCCCCTTCGACGAAGAGTACCAGCAATACCTGCATGTCATGGTGCGGTTATTGGCTACGTCTCTTGCTTCCATCGTTCTTTTCGAAGACGAAGTCCAACAAAGAGAAAACGCCATCATCCAGGCTGCTCAGATCCAAGAACATCTGATGGCTGAAATACAACTCAAAGAAAGCAAGTTTCAACGCTTCGCGGAACGATCCGACGTAGGCATCTTTATTATTGATCCGGCAGGAGCTTATACCTACCGTAATCAACGATGGCATGATATGTTTGAAGTCGCATCCTCTGAAGACAACGCCACCGTGGCATGGTTTAAGATCGCGTTCGAAGAGGACATCCCTTACTGCCAATCCATGTTCGCAAAACTAATCATGAATCACGAATCAGTTATCTTTGAGCTGCGTACGCGGATGCCCTGGACGCCGCCGTCACAGTCAGATGAGCCGCAGACCGAGGATACCCAGCACTACAAGTGGATTTTGTGTTCAGCCTTCCCCGAGTTGGGTCCGAACGGCGACCTTGTTGAGGTCGTCGGGAATGTCACAGATATATCCAGTAAGCAACCTTAAGTACGATGACCTATGATACATGCACTGACCTCGCGCGCCCATTCCAGAGCAAAAGTGGGCTGAAGGTATTCAAAAGATACGCATGGACAGCGCACTGCAAGGCAAGCAACACCTAGAACACTTTCTGGACACGACGAGTCATGAGATGCGAAACCCCCTCAGCGCCATCATGCAATGCGCAGATTCTATCACGTCTTCCTATCCCCAAGAAGATTACCAAGAGCGCCAAAACACCACACCGAACGAGTGGACGGCTTTCATCGAGTCTACCCTTGACGCTGCCCAAACGATAGGAGTTTGCGCATCGCACATGAAGCACATAGTCGACGATATTCTCACCATCTCTAAACTCGATTCGGGTCTCTTGGACATGACACCGGTCATTGCGCAACCCGAGAGTGTAAGACCTCTAATCTGATGACACGTATGTTACACAGACTAACTTCATAACCTAATAGGTGGTTATGCATGCAGTGAAGATGTTCGACGCAGAAGCAAGAGCAGCGGGAATCAACCTCGTGTTGAACGTGGATCAGTCCTATCGCAACATGGAGATCGACTGGGCATCTCTGGATCCAACAAGGGTGTTGCAGATTCTCATCAACCTTCTCACCAATGCCATCAAGTTCACCCGCTTGGAATCCACCAAGCGTGTAACAGTGACTCTGGCCGCCAGTAGCGCTGAACCCGTCTCAACGCTACATGGAATACAGTATAACGAGGAGAGGCTTGTAGGACAAGACCCCCACTTGGAAGAGGATTGGAAGAAAGCTCAAGAGCTATTCTACATTCAATTTGCCGTCACTGATACGGGCCGTGGACTCTCCGACGAAGAAAAATGCAATCTCTTCACCCGCTTTTCACAAGCCTCACCTCGGACGCACATACACTACGGTGGCTCTGGCCTTGGGCTATTCATATCTAGACGTCTCACCGAATTACAAGGCGGATCAATCGGCGTCGCGAGTGAGTCTGGAAGAGGCAGCACGTTTGCCTTCTACATCAAATCACGACGGGCGAGACCTATTGTAGCCCGGAAAGGCAGTCTTCCGCATGTTTTCCCAGAAGAGATCAAGCACAGACGCCCGATACCGCTCGTGAGCTTAACGCGTCCGTCTCCTCCCGTGCGTATATCCACAGGCGAGCAAGGTCAAAGATCAGACTCTGCCAGTCCAAAAGCACGCCGTCCGTCAGTGCAATCAAAATCTTCGCAGACCGAACACTCTCACGTCCGGCCGGAAGCGCTAGGACTACCAGAGGGCCCAGACCTGCAAGAACTGAAGCGCACGAAAGGTATACCAGATACGTTGCATGTTCTCGTGGTGGAAGACAATCTCATCAACCAGCGCGTTCTCGCCAAACAATTGCGCAATCTAGGATGTGTCGTGAGCGTCGCCAATCACGGTCAAGAAGCCCTTGACTTCCTACCAAAGACCAGTTTGTGGAAACACGATGAGCCTATTCGCGACGCAACTGCGCGAGAGGCTCTCCATAATGGCGAACTGCCCATCGAACTCAGCCTCATCCTCATGGACTGGGAGATGCCCATCATGAACGGACTCACGGCCGTTGCCGAAATACGCAAGCTTGAGCAACAAGGCTTGTTGAAAGAGCGAGTGCCAATTATCGGGGTCACGGCCAATGTGCGCCAACAGCAGATCGAACAAGCTATGGCTGCAGGAATGGATGATGTTGTTGGCAAGCCTTTCAGGGTTGCGGAGTTGCTCGTACGTATGAGGGGGATTGTCGCTGGTATGGATCCGGAGGGACCAAATGGCAATGCGACCTTGACTGAGGGGTATGCGAGCTTTGGATGATGGAAAAGTCACTGGATCACGACTTGCACGAATCAATACCATTTCAAGAGTGCAAGCTCAGCATCCGAACAACTGAGAGACCTCGCAACATCTTTTCCTTTTCCAGTGTCGATCGCCGGTCAAGTACTATAAAGTAAGCGTTTAGGGCTAATCTGAGCAACATCTCCAAAGCTCTGACCACTTGTTCGTCAATGAGCGTCCGCGTTCAAGGTTGACTGCATTAGCGCACTAGTCGCTTATCACAGCCCTGGAGGTTGCACATCAACTTGCAGGCCTGAGAACGATTACGCGAACGGACAGCTGTGTAACTACCCCTCATGATGCTGACACTGAACCGACGAGTCTATAAGCTCATTGCATTCTGCATTCTTCCCACCAAGACCATCGTCCCCAATCATGGCGCTATTCCAAAATCTCAACCTTTGGAACTCCCTGCTCGTCGTCTTCGTTTACATCCCCATACTTTACTGCATAGCCTGGTTCACATATGCGCGAACGCTTCACCCGCTTGCGAAAGTACCAGGTCCTATCTGGCCTGCGATATCGCGCACATGGCTTATGTATCGCATGTATCAGGGGGATTTGGAGATGCATATGCGCGCAGTGCATAAAATGTTCAAGCGTCCTGTTCACGATCGACGGTTGAGAGCTGACATGTTACAGTCAGTGTTCCCATCGTTACGAGTGGATGGATGCTTTGCAAAGAGACACTTCTGTCGGAAAAACATCAAGTTCTGGGCACTTGAAAAACCATGCTAATACCATCTGACATGCTAGAATACGGCCCGATCGTGCGCACAGCACCGGACGAAGTTCACATCAGCGACCCAAGTGCTATCCCTACCCTATATCCCACGCAGCAGCCGCTTGAAAAGACCGATTGGTACCTCACATACAGAGCGGTGAACCTAGGGCCCAGCCCCGATTTATTCACAGATGACAATGAGAAACATCATGCAGCTCACCGACGGACCGTCGGCTCTGTGTACACACTAAGCAGCATATTGAAGAACGAGCGGGCAGTGGACGAATTAATGACTTTGTTCGGGAAAAGGCTCGGTGGATTCGCAGACCGTGAGGAAGATGTTGACTTTGGGTTATGGCTGGAGATGTGAGTTGCGCCAGGTCACATGTCCTCCTCGCAACAACATAACTGATCTACACGTACAGGTTCTCCTTCGACAGCGTAGGCGCCGTATTCTTCGGCCAGCCCTTCGGCTTCCTGGAAACGAGTTCAGACTACGGAAACTACATCGCCGCCGTACATACCGCCATGCCGATGAGTTCCGTCATCGCGATGGCGCCTCGGTGGTGCCGCGGGTACCTCCTCCAGATCGGCGTCATGATCCCCAAAGTCTTCAAAGCTATCATGGCTGTAGATGGTATCGGGCAGACTGCTGTTCGCGAAACGGGTGTTGCGCAGGAGAAAAGGGCGGAAGCGGATACGCATCGCACGGATGTTCTGTCGCAGTTATTAGGGATTATGAGGGAGAAGGGAGACAGTCTGTCGATCGAGAAGATTCATGTTGAGATGTGGGCGGCTGTGTAAGCACCAGATGTGTCTACCAAGAACCCTTTTTGCTAATACATGCCAGTATCGCCGGCTCAGACAGTACCTCCGGTGCTCTCCGCGCAATCTTCTACTTCCTCATGAAACATCCCCCAAAGATGGAAAGACTAACCCAGGAGATCGACGCTGCCTTTCACAACAGCACGCTCACCAGTCCTGTACAATACAACCAAGCCACCAAGCTACCCTACCTCATGGCCGTCATCCAAGAGTCGCTAAGACTTTTCCCGCCCTTCGCGTGCCTATGCCGCGGTACGTGCCGAACGGTGGTCTGCAGCTCTTCAGCCATCACATCCCTGCTGGCTTCAAAATCGGTATGAATGCCATGGTCACGCAATTCGACGAATCGGTCTTTGGCGAAGACGCAAGTGAGTTCCGTCCTGAGCGATGGCTTGTCGACGACGCACAGTACAGAGTCATGCAGAAAGCTATGCTGGTGTTTGGCGCGGGTACTAGAACTTGCATTGGGAAGCATGTAAGTGCCCTTCAAATGGGGGTCAAGGTTTTGTCGCGTTCACTGATGATGGTGCTGTACTCAGCTTTCGAATGCGGAGATGTATAAGGTGGTGCCGGAGATACTGAGGAGTTTTACGGTGGAGATGGCGCATGATGGGCCTTGGAAGACGCATAATGCGACGTTTGTGCTTCAGAGTGATGTGATTTGTAGGATTACGCGTAGGCCGTTTTGAGTGTTGATGGAAGGTTTCCACAACGCGTCACGCGTGCGCACGTGCGCGGTCTTGAGACTAGTCTTGATTCGGCGATGCCGCGTCTACCCGGGGAATCTCTTATCCCGCGTTCAGCTATCTACAATTTCATTGCCTTCCACATAAACTGATGTTCATCTAAATTCGCATTCTTCGCGTCCTAATGGACATATTTACCATGTAGTCTATGCTGCTGATGACTCTGTAGCACAACGCGCGACCGCTGTGTAATGAAGTCTGGGGCGGGGCTAGCGCTATCGCTTGGGTTCCTGCCACCTATTCTAACCGGCTTCTCCTTCGCCCACCTCATCTTTGTATAATGATGTAGGCTGCAGGATCTACTCAATCCGACGCCGCTCTCTCGCATCACAGATCTCCGCTCTACACAGCGGACAGCGATTGCTGTTCTTCTCGATACCGTTGACCAGATCCTCTAAGCACTGCGCATGGAACGCATGGCCGCACTCGACCTCCCAAGCCACCGTTGCTGCGCTGCGGACATCAAAAGGCTCCAGATCGACTGGACAGATGGCTTCAGGACCAAGCTGGACAGGGCTAGCCACGCTCCTGACTTGAATACGTGGACCGGCCGCTTCCCACTTTACGTCTTCGAATGAGGCAGGGTCGAAATCAGCAGGCTCCTCCTCTTGCCATGCTTGTATAATGCGATCAGGAACACGTAAATTTGCGGTCTGAAACGGGATGTAGTTTCTCTGTTCGACGCTTCCCACGCCAAGACTGAGGTCATCGAAAAGTCTTGTGGTTCGAGGCACATCCTTGAAGACGCTTTCTACACATCGCACAAGCCACTTATACATGTGCCAATTGAGAAGCTCTGTCTCTGTACTTTGGAGAATTTCCTTCGCTCGCAAAACAACAAAGTCGTGGATAGTACGATGATTTATATTAGCGCAGTGGATGCGCGCATCCAACGGCATGTAATTCCCTGGATCGCCAAACATACGCGACAGCTGATCGACGCGATACTCTGCAAAAGTCTCCACCAACGCTGGACTGGGTGCGTAATCCGTTCTCTGGAACAGGTCGCAGATGTATGCGAAATGGTGGACTAGGAGATTGAGGACAGACTCTGCCGTCTTGTTGTGTCCAGTGGCCGGTGCAGGGATCAACAGTAAATCGCCCAAATTTGGAAAGTCCTCTGGATGCGATCGCTGTTGTATGAGGGTGTCAATATCGCTCGGCCGGTCGAAGTAACGGGGTTGTTCCTCCATCAACTGGGTCAGGAAATCAGCGTATTGCCCGTCGTAGCCTAATTGCAGCATCCTCAACCACAGCTGAGTGTAGTCATCGACGCGTACATCCATAAACACTGCGTTTTGCTCTCTGCCCATCTGCTCTCTGTCCATGTAGTCGATCAGCTCCTCACGCCGCTCCATTAGCTCCTGCCACGCTTGTCCGAAATCTCCAGAGGGCGTGGAAGCGAGCGCCCCTAGGTTCGCCGTCCATAGGTTCAGAGCCAGGGCCCGTTTCCTTGGGTAAGCGAGTGCATATAACAACATAGTGTCGTATGCGGCGACAACTTTACTTCGAGCTTCATGTGTGTCCTCCGCTGCAGTGAGGAGAGTGTGAAGGTACGTTAAGGGGGTGGGTAGCTCGTGTTCTGGTTCTAGTAAACTGTCCATGATGCTAGTAGGGTGAGTTGAAGACAGGTGTACTTGTAGATCGGTACTGTAACTTCCTGTATGTCTACTGGTGGTGGAAATATCGGTCAGCTCACAACACCCTTATAAAAACTTACGATCTCACAAACCCAAATTCCAGCAATGAATGGAATGTACAAAGCGTTGACAGTAGTTGCGACAGGAAATCGCGAGAATCACCGCACTACTTCAGTGCTTTGTGGTGAAGAGCCCGTATGCTAATTGCTAAAAAGAAAGTGAAGTGTTTAACGAATTGCTATGGTAATGGTATAGTCGAATCGAAGGTCATTCACAAGCAACAGGTCAAGAATGCATTGTATGAAGATCTTTTTATTAGTGTCTAGGGTGCTCTGCAAAGGAGAGGCGTAAAAATTTGGGATATCGCTAACTATTATAAGTTTTTCTCGTTCCGACCAAGAGCTATCTAGCTAGAGTGGCTGCACGTAGGGTTGGTGGGAGCATTCTTTCCACCAAAGTACACCTTGTTGTAGACGTTGTCGCCAGTCCAAGCATCGGACGGGACCTTCGGGGGGTTGACAGGGCCACCCTCCTGTTGAGAGTGAGGGAACAGTCCGAAGTTGGGTGAGACGACGTTGTCGGGGCATCCGAGCGCGGTCTTGCTGAGAATGGGGTCGAGGACTGAAAGAGCCCACGAGACACCCTTGGCGACATTCTCCTCGGTACCGCCAAGCGCAAGCGGAGTGATAGAGTTGAGACCCTGGTAGACATCGCAGAGCAGGGTCTGAACAGTCAACTTGCCAGTACCGACCTGAGCGGCGGCAGGAACGATGATGTTGCGGGGATAGATCTGAAGGAAGCCGTCGGCGATGGCCTGGACGGCGCCGTAAGGGGTGTCACGGCGGTACCAGTTCTCGGGCCAGCGCTCGGGCACGTACTTGAACTCCTGGGTGTTCTCATCGTACTCAGCACCAATGATGCTCATGATGCTCTTGTAGTTGGGCACACCTCCTGCACCGTAGGTACCGTTGGAGAAGAACTGGGGGTAGAAGGCGAAGGCACCTAGAGAAACGATCTGGGGAAAGGGGAAGTAGTAGAGGAAGGGGTTGTTGTCTTTGGTGAAGCCGGCCGACTTTGCGTAGTGCTTGGCCATGACGTCCATGGAAAACTCCTTCTTGGGATCTTGAGTGGCATATCCGACCATCTGCTTCACAAGGCGAGAAGAGAGGTGATGGTTGTCACCACATCCGTTGTAGTAATCTGTCTCGATGTTAGCAGTCAGATTGTACTTTGGGTCGAAAGAAACGAACCTTCGCGGTTGGGTGAAACATCAGCCTCCACAACAGAGTGCCTGTTGAGACCACCGATTCCGTTCTTCCCTGAGCCGAGATAGAAGGAAAGGCCATCCAGATCTCCACTGCCCAGGACGGCGAAGGTGGCTAGAACCGTAGCAAGGTCCACACCCATGTTGAATCCGCGGCCAGTGGCCTCCAAGACTTGTCCGTAAGTGACGTAACCGTCACGGGGGAGATAACCGTAGTTGGCAAGCAAGTTCAGTCCTGGGCAAGGACCACGGGAGTCGTTGGGGCCAGGGGCCTTGAACTCGAAGCCAGGCTCAGGACGCTTGTTGTCCTTCTTGACTATGGCCTGTCCGACTGAGGACAGGAGCCCATTAACAATGCCACCAAGCCCACCCAATAGGTTTCCGACTGGGTTGAGCAATTGGGGTTCAGCGGCGCGGTTGGCAAGTTGTTCGTGCTGTAACTCCTCGCGGAGGTACCCCTCCATCTCTGAGCGGGAGTTCGCACCCATCATGCCGGGGTAGGCGGCAGCGAGGGCTGGCAACGCCAGAGTGACTGATTGAGTGAACCTCATGATGTTGGTAGCACAAGATTGTTGGTATGAGGAGAGAAGGAGAGAAGGAGCAAGTGATGGCTCTGGCTGAAGAACTGATGTGGGCCACACGGTGAAGAGGATTTATACACTTCCGCTCTGCGTATCTGCTTCTAAGCCTCTCCACCGCTCTGGTAAAGCCTGCATGGATGGTATCTGTTGGCACCGTCCACGTTGAGTATGATCTTCATCAACAGTCGCCGAAGAAGTGTGTCGCGTTTCCATTTTCGTACCGTTGTCATCATGATCGCCAACTAGAACTGGGGGAGACTTAGTCAAAACGCCATGCCGCTACAGATCCACACATGGATGAGGCAGAGCGCAGCAACCCAATCAGATGTTTCCGGATTACCCATTACTTACCTGAGTCGTGGTGCTCCGCGGCCAGGCATTTGAAAGCGAGTCAGATTCATGGCATTTTGGCATTCGACACAGCTCGAGTGACCCACTTATATCCACACAGTGCGCCAGTAATTCACTTGGATCGAAGGTCGATTTCCCAGAATCAAGGTAGTGATCGCGATGATAAAGGAGGCGTTATCATTTGCTCTCAGCAGCTAACGTTCACTCAGTTCAACCAAGCCACAATGGTAAGCGCGGTCTCCTGTCATCGAAGAAGTGTAGATAGGTGGAGCTGTCAAAACGTGTCAGTCGCAATTTCTGAACAATTGCAATAAATCTAAGAACGAATGTGATAGAGTTCTCGAAGCAGACTCATGTAGCCTACACATCTCCCATACATAGAGCAGGGGTTAGGTGACAGTAATAGCTACATCATATCTCGGTGCACTATGCAGTAGCTTGCAGAATCGGCAGGTAGAATAGCGCCGGCTCTCTTATTCGACGGAGAATTTGTACTCACCCTCGCCGAACGCTGGTAGTACACAGGGGCTCCCGGGATGCCTATGCGGCCCCATCGGGATCAGAACAGGTTGCCAATTAGCCTAATGCTATCTGTGCAGGCAGTTCGTTGTGAACTTGCAGAGTCCACAGTGTGCTGGCGATATGACCGACGTCAGGATGCTGCAGGATATATTGGCACACTCGCCAATGTGCCACGATGTGCCGTGATGGCCACCAGGATCGGATCGGAAATCCGCA